CAGGAGTGGCCAGGGACTTCCCCCCATGTCCCCACTGCTCTTGAGACCCACTGAGCCGGGAGACCCCAGAGCAAAACAGAGCTGAGGTGGGGAGCCCCATACCAGTGTTCCCACAGGCCCCGACGGGGATGGGCCCCAGTGAGGAGGAGCGCCTCCACCACCCCTCAAAACAGGACGAGGGACCTGGGCCGCGCACCTGTCTCCTGCGGTGAGGGCTGCCAGCCTGGCCTCCCCAGGCTGAGGCTCCGAGGTATTGTCCAGGATCCTCTGCATCTGCTGCTCCATCTCCCGGGGCTTCAGCAGCCGCCCGTCGTGGTAGAGCCAGACCTTGAAGTAGCGCCCTCGATGGTACACGACGATGTGCTTGCTGTCTCTCATGTGCTGGATGGTGTCTGAGCCGGCCGCAGGTTGGAGACACAAAACCAAGAGTCCCAAGTTCACCGCGTGCTGAGACAACCGTACCCTGACTCTTTAAAGGCCATGGGAGTCCCTGCTCTGCGTCCCTCCAGGCAGCCTCAAGAGCCTATTCCTCAAGACGTTTTAAATGATTAAGGACAGCATGGAGTTAAAGCTCTGGATCGGATAGGCCTGATTTCTGAGCTCAGCTTGGTCACTCATTAGATTATGACCTCAAACAAATTACCTGAGGCCAGGCGCAGTGGGAGGCTGGGAGTGGTGGCTCATGCCTGTAATCCCAGCACTTTGGGTGAGGTGAGAGGATCATATGAGGTCAGGAGTTCGAGATCAGCCTGGTCAACATGGTGAAACCTCGCCTCTACTAAAAATACAAAAATTAGCCAGGTGTGGTGGCGTGCACCTGTATTCCCAGCTACTCGGGAGGCTGAGGCAGGAGAATCGCTTGAACCCAGGAGGTGGAGGTTGCAGTGAGCTGAGATCACACCACTGCACTCCAGCCTGGGTAACAGAGTGAGACTCCGTCTCAGGGGGAGAAAAAAAAAAAAAAAAAAAGCATGCTTAGCAAAATGGAATATTATCATTAAAAAAAAAGAAATTGCCCAGCCCTCCCTAAGCCTCTCTGTAAAATGGAGATCATATGTTCCCCATGTGCGCTGTGCAAGAATTAAGAGATGATATCCATAAAGCTCATATAAAGTAGGCACTGGATCAGTGTAGTAACTTTTTATTAATTAATGACAATAGGGTAACTTAGAAACTATTCTGAGAAACATTCTGAGAATTGTTTCTGAGAACCTGAGAAATGTTCTGAGAAAGGAAGTGGAAAATTATGAAACCAAGCCATTCCGTAAAAACTACTAAAACAGAGTAATTTAAGATCCTCAGTAAGCTTCAACGTCACAGAAATGTGATGAAGTACATTCACTCCACGAATATGTATCAAGTCCTGTTAAGCACTGCTCAGTGGGGACGCATAGTGACAGCTGATCAAGGCAGATCGTCTAGTGGGTCAGGCTGGTCTTGAACTCCTGACCTCAGGTGATCCACCTACCTCGGCCTCCCAAAGTGCTGGGATTACAGGTGTGAGCCACTGCGCCTGGCCAGGATGGGTTTTTAGAGAACCTCTGAAGGCAGGATCAGAGGAAAGGGGAGAATCTGCTTAGGAAAGCCCAGAGACCAGCTTTTGTGCAAGGCTACAGCAAAGGCTCCCCAACGACCACCACAGTGCGCACTACTAACTAGGGCTTGGTCTAGAAGGACTGGGCGGCAACAAGACACTCAAAGCTCCGGGTCAGCTCTGGCCCTTTCCAGCCAGCTTCCCAAGCAGCCCTGAGGCCTGCCCATCATACAGGCCTGCCATGGTGGTCTTGTGCTCTAGCTCATCAAGTGTCTCTGGGTAGTTCCTCATTCACAGGCACCTGGGGAAATGGGGGAAATGGAGGCCATGGACGGCACAGCCTGGGCCCGTGCCTGGCCTGGATGGTCCCCATGGTGCCCGTTCTCCCTTCCCTGTCATTCTCAAGGATGTCTCGATTTGGACGGTAGCTTATGTGGCCACCCTGCCCAGGTCAGGCAGCTGATACGGGAGTGTCTGGAACACAAATCGACCTTCTCGAGCACGACCCAGTGTGCGTTCCACCACAAACCCTGCCTGTGAGCCGGAGCAAAATGCCCCTGAGGAACTCAGACTCAGGAAAAAACACTCAGCTGGGCGTGAGTCCAGGAGCTTGAGACCAGCCTGGGCAACACGGCAAAACCTCATGTCTATAAAAAATGCAAAAATTAGTCAGGCATGATGCATGTGCCTGTGGTCCCAGCTACTGGGGAGGCTAAGATGGAAGGATTCCTTGAGCTCAGGATGTGGAGGCTGAAGTGAGCCGTGATCATGTCACTGCACTCCAGCCCAGGTGGCAGAGACCGACCTCATCTCAAAATAAATAAACAAACAAACAAACAAATAAATAAATAAAAAAAACACTCTATAAGACAGTCGGCAGTCTTCAACCAGAGAGAAATTAAAATCTGGAAATCAGTCAACAACAGTGTCCAGGTCTAAGAAAGACAAAGAAAATTCAGCAGAAGGAATGTTCACCAGCCTACAATCTCAGGGAGGGTCAGCAAAAATCAATTTGGCCCCTTTGACACTTCCTGATTCTGAGCACAGGGATGGAAAGTGCCGATTCCCCAGGGAGACCCGAAGAAGCTTCACTCACCTGTCTCCTCTCCTGGGATCCGGGAAGTGTTAAACATTCGCTCCCACTGAGCGGAGCAGAGTGGAATCGTGGATCCCAAAAGACGGATCTGTAACAAAAATACATTTCAAACCAACAGAAAATCCAACCAGAAAAAAAATCCACAGGAGAAAAGCAAGCAAAGTTAGCCTGGCGCGGTGGGCCTCATGCCTGCTAACATCCCACACTTGGAGGCTGAGGCGGGTGATCACCTGAGTTGGACTTTGAAAGATCAGCCTGACAAGAAAGATATCCCTCGATCTTTACTAAAAATACCAAAAACTTAGCAAGGCAACGTGGTGCAGCTGTTGTCCCAGTTATCCTGAGCTGAGCAGAGAACGCTTGACCCTGGGAGGGCGACAGTTGCCAGTGAGCGGAGAGTCGCGCTACTGCAGCTCCATCCTGGGGAACCAGAGTGAGACTGTCTCCAAAAAAAAAAAAAAAAAAAAAAAAAAAGCGGCCGCGGTGGCTCCACGCCTGGTAATCCCAGCACTTTGGGAAGGCCGAGGCGGGCGAATCCACGAGGTCAGGAGATTGAGACCTCCTGGCTAACCACGGTGAAAAACCCTGTCTCTACTAAAAATACAAAAAATTACCGGGCCTGGTGCAGGTTGCCTGTATCCCATCTACCCGGAGGCCGAGGCAGGAGAATGGCATGAACCCAGGAGGCGGAGTTTGCAGTGAGCCGAGATCACACCACTGCACTCCAGCCTGGGCAACACAGTGAGACTCCATCTCAAAAAAAAAAAAAAAAGAGAGAGAGAGAGAGAAAAGCAGCAAGTTAAGACCACGTGGAAATACTAAATGTGTTTTCTGTGCAGATTGCTTGGTTTGACTTCCTCTTTTCCAATGGCTCCCTGGAATGATTCGTTGGGGGACTCATTAAACCATGCCAGGGTGCAACTTCTTGCACAGTAAAATCCTAAATTACACATTCTAATCAATTATTTATAACTGACACTTAAAACCAAAGAAATATTTCAGGAAGAAAAGAGCAACCCACCAGCTAGTATTAGTTCAAAAACAACAAGGGCTTCTTTGAAGGGCAGATTACAGAACTAAAGTACAACAGATGTATATTCATTTAGGAGACACAAGTAGAATTAAATCTCAAAATAATTAGGCTCAGTGAAAGAAACTAGAATTTAGAAAAAAAGAGTGCATACTGTATGATTCCACTTACATAAAGCTTTAAAAATTACAAACTAATCTAGAGTGACAGACAGTAGACCGGGGGTCCAGGACCAGGTGGGAGGGAGAGATGACAAAGGGCAGAGGGGTTTTGGGTTGACTGATGTATTCACCATCCTGACTGCAGTGATGATGGTTTCTCAGATGCATCAATATACACACATCAGAAGTTATCAAACTCTCCACTTTCTTTCTTCTTTTTTCTTTTTTTTTTTGAGACGGAGTTTCACTCTTATCACCCAGGCTGGAGTGCAATGGCGTAATCTCAGCTTGCTGCAACCTCTGCTTCCCAGGTTCAAGCGATTCTCCTGCATTGGCCTCCCAAGTAGCTGGAATTACAGGCACGTGCCACCATGCCCAGCTAATTTTTGTATTTTTAGTAGAGATGGGGTTTCACTGTGTTGGCCAGGCTGGTCTTCAACTGCTAACCTCAGATGATCTGCCTGCTTTGGCCTCCCAAAGTGCCAGGATTACAGGCGTGAGACACTGTGCCCGGCCACAAACTGTATAGTTTAAACATGTGCAATACGTCAATTATACCTCTGTTAAGCTGTTTGAAAAGAATTTTTTTAAAGCAATTTGTGTGCCTACTGGTTTGATTTCCTCCCGGTCCAGTTTGCGCCTGTAAAGCAGGATAGCGTGGACGGCGTTGCCGGCTCTTGCTGCCTGAATGTGAGTTGGAAGGACATACAGCAGATCCTGAAAAGCGAAAAAGGTGACATGGAGAGAATTTGCATAGGGAAAGATAAGCAAATTTAAATACATCACAGCACATCCTGCATGCTGTCAAAATATTTCCAGAGATGTATTCAGTTACATCTGCAATGCTACAAAATAAATGGTAGTTTGATTTTCTACATTCTGTCTTTTACTTTGTAAATGTTTTATGAGAACGGAAGTCCTCCAAAACTCTTGGGCTGTTAAAGATAACTATTTGCACCAAATACCCTCATATAACACAGAGAAAGGAAAGCAAAAATTAGTCGGGGAGCAGTTAGACAATCAGGAAGTTTTTTGGATGAGACATAATGAAAGGTTGAAATAATTGTTTATATAGAGCTGTGCCTGCAGCTTTCTAAATTTTGAGACCCTGTTCCAAATGTCTACATTTTCCACAGTTGGAAGAAAAGGCCAAGGAACACAGGTCTAACCTACATTTTGGAAGAGTCTATGTCCACATCATGTCCCCAGTGATGTAGAAAGTGCCTCTGTTTGTAGGAAATGAACACAGGTATCCTGGTGGGAAGGGCGTCAGATAAACAGCTCACTTCCAAATAGAGCAGGAAAAGAAGTTCTGTGGACTACACTGATGGTTTTTCTTTCAGTCTGAGATTATTTCAGATGGGGGAAAAAAGTTAAGAGAAAAAGAAAGGAAAATTTTGAAACGAAGAAAAACAGAAAGAAAAAGCAAATGATAGGCCGGGTGTGGTGGCTCACGCTTGTATTCCCAGCACTTTGGGAGGCTGAGCCGCATGGATCACCTGAGGTCAGGAGTTTGAGATGAGACTGCCCAACATGGCGAAATCCCGTTTCTACTAAAAATACAAAAATTAGCCAGGCGTTGTGGCAGGTGCCTGTAATCCCAGCTACTCGGGAGGCTGAGGCATGAGAATCGCTGGAACCGGGGAGGCAGAGGCTGCAGTGAGATGAATTGCACCACTGTACTCCAGCCTCGGTGACAGAGCAAGACTCCATCTCAAAGGAAAAAAAAAAAAAGGGAAAAGAAAGAAAAAGTAAATGATAAAAAATAAATGAGGGAAAAAAAATAAAAGGAAGTGAAGGAATGGAAGGAAAAGGAAAGAGAAGAGTTCTATTTACCAGTTATTAAAGCAGTGGTCGAGAACCCAAATTGAGGGGCCTTCTAACCATCCATGCTTTGAAAGACAAAGCCCAGGAAACCAGAAACTACCATCGATGCACACCCCTTTGGCGTCTCAGAAAATAGTAGGGTGAAGCGTAGTGCACTGGTGGCAGGATCTTAGCCAACCCACTGTCCCTGAGCTCTAGGGGTTCTGCAGGGATCTTAAGGCCGCTGTGGCACTAACTTCCAGTGCTAAGTCATAAAAACAGCAGGACAGGCTGGGCACGGTGGCTCACACCTGTAATCCCAGCACTTAGGGAGGCTGAAGCTGGCGGATCACGTGAGGTCAGGAGTTCGAGGCCAGCCTGGCTAACATGGCGAAACCCCGTCTCTACTAAAAATACAAAAATTAGCCGGGCATGTTGGTGGGCACCTGTAATCCCAGCTACTTGGGAGGCTGAGGCAGGAGAATCACTTGAACCTGGGAGGCGGAGGCTGCAGTGAGCCAAGATCGTGCCATTATACTCCAGCCTGGTGGACAAGAGCAAAGCTCCATCTCAAAACAAAACAAAACGAAACAAAAAAACAGCAGGACAGGTACAGCACAGTGAGGAATTCCTGTTTGCCAGAAACTTATTTTTGCAGCCCAAATCCCCCTGCAGTAGCAGAGCCCCCTGGGCTACTAGGCTAATACTGAAGGGTACTCAGGGTTCTCCAGCCTGGAAGCAGGACAGAGAGGAGCATGAGCCAGTCCCCAGAGCTTTCCCAGGCCGTCCACAGGCCTGTGAAGACGCCACCTCTGTGGACAGACCCGCCGCCCCACGGTCCTCGCCAGACAGCAGCCCGGGCGGGGGCACTCACCATGGCATAGTAGTTGCTGTTCACCATGAGCGGCCCTCGTCCTCGGAGGTAGATGTACTCCTCCCACCAGTCGCTCACCTAGTGGGCGCAAACACCAGACAAACCCGCAGGCTCAGCAGGGGCCAGGCAGGCTCCCTGGCAGCAGCCCAGAGCCACGGGGAAGGGCAGGCAGTGCTTTTGGCAGACATTTGGGCATCTAATGGGGGGCCATTCCAGAACAGGGAACACAGTCCTAACCAGACGGAATGCGACACCGTGGGAAACGAAAAGCGTTCTTTTTAAGTTGAGACGAGCAGAAAGAAGGTACATCACCTTCATTCTGTAGATGGTTCAAAAGGGAAAAAAAAGCCAAAGTGGGAGGATTGCTTGAGTCGAGGAGTTCGAGACCAGGCTAGACAACATAGCGAGGCTCTAGCTGTACATTAAAAATAAAAATAATAAATAAAATAAAAATTTTAAAAATGTTTAAAAGACCAGATGGAAAGTAAATCCTAAATGTTTGACTGCTAACATGTTCTAAAAACCAATACTGTGGGCTGGGCATGGTGGCTCACACCTGTAATCTCAGTACTTTGGGAGGCCGAGACAGGAGGATCGCTTGATGCCACGAGTTTGAAGCCAGCCTGGGCAACATTGCAAGGTTCCACCTCTCCAAAAAAAATGTAAGAAATTAGCCAGGTGTGGTGGCTCATGCGTGGAGTCTCAGCTACTTGGGAGGCTAAGGCAGGAGGGTCACTTGAGCCCAGGGGTTCGAGGCAACAGTGAGCTATGATTGTGCCACTGCATTCCAGCCTGGGCAACAGAGCAAGACCTTTTCTCAAATAAAAGAAAACAGAAACAAAGGCCAGGTGCGGTGGCTCACGCCTGTAATCCCAGCATTTTGGGAGACTGAGGCGGGCTGATCACTTGAGGTGAGGAGTTCCAGACCTGCCTGGCCAACATGATGAAACTCCATCTCTACTAAAAATACAAAAATTAGCCGGGCATGGTGGCGGGCGCCTGTAATCCCAGCTACTCAGCAGGCTGAGGCAGGAGAATCACTTGAACCTGGGAGGCGGAGTTTGTAGTGAGGGGGGATCGCACCACTGTACTCCAGCCTGGGCGACAGGGCGAGGCTCCATCTCAAAAAGAAAAGAAAAGAAAACAACAACAAAAAAATCCAATGTTATGCAAAATTGCTCCACAGACTGCTTCTCATCTTCCTGCTTCCCAGGTCTCCCTGAAGAAGCGACCGCCTCAGTCTAGTCCATGGCACTAACCCGGCGTTCCACAGGTGTGGTCCCTGTTCCCTGGCACATGCATCCTGAAGCTACCCAGGGACAGTGCCCCCCAGCCACCTCACAGCTGCTGTCCCTTCACAGCCTGCTGGACCCAGAGATGGCTTCCTTTTCAGCTTTGTGCTGAAACACACGTAACTACAGAACAGTGGCCATGCAATGGTCTCGTGTGCGGAGCTGTGCAGAGAGCTGATGTTTACCAGTCCAGCACACCCGTGCAGCCAGCGAACATGTCCGGCCCCCTGAGGCTCGAGAGACTCCTTCAGGCACTGCCCATCCACCCACGATGTGACTTCTGCACCACCTGCTGGTTCTGTCAGGGTCACTTGGGACACCTCCTCTTCCGTGTTAGTTGTTCCTCAAAGCTACACTCCCTCCCTTGCTTCGTCTGCCAGAGGCCTGCTCTCACCCTCCCAGCACATGGAAGCCCAGCCAGCTCCCCACATACAGGGCGCCAGCTAAGACACTTGGTTGGAGGAGATGCTCCTGGGACCACTGAGCCACACTCAATCCCAGCAAGCATCCCACACCATCCCTGCATCCACCAGCAAGCTCGGGAAGGATGCCTTGGAATAAAAATAAACTAAAGAGGAGGATAGGAGCAGGTGTCTGGGGCAGCATGGCACTGCTGCAGGAGAAACAGCTCACAAGAGGAATCCCCAGGGAAGAGGGAGAGGGAGAGGGCTCCTGTGTGCAAAACACAGCATTGCGATGATACACCTGCACTCGGGGTAAAACCGTCACTGTAGGCTGGGTGTGGTGGCTCATGCCTGTGATCCCAGCACTTTGGGAGGCCAAGGTGGGAAGATGACTTGAGCCCAGGAGTTTGAGACCAGCCTGGTCAACATAGTGAGACCCTGTCTCTACAAAAAATCCAAAAACCAAGAAACTGTCACTGTAACTACACGTCAGTCCTAATACACACACCCCATGCTGCATGCAGGTAAACCATAGCTGGAACCTCCTAAGGTGTGATTTTGGCTAATCACAGCTGTCGTTTCAGCCCTGTTATCCCTGTCCCTCAGAATTAGCATCTTCATACAGAAAAATTTCATCAAGAAAAACTGTGTATACAGACTTACGTAATTTGTAGCCCACCAGGATTTTAACTTCAAATACCACTGTAGTCTTGGTCCAAGACTGACAGCAAAGTCTTGAGCAAGTGCCGTCATCCGTTTGAAGTCGTCTTCCTTCATAAGAGGCCTCACCGACTCTAGATACTGGGATTATCAGGGAAAAAAAAAATCACCCAAGTTAAAACACAGTAATCAAAGCCTATGGTTGCTTCACCTGTGCCTTAGGAGAAGTTCTAACACATTGAAGAGGTTTTAGGCTACGCATGGTGGCTCATGCTTGTAATCCCAGCATTTTGGGAGGTCAAGGCCAGTGGATTGCTTGAGCTCAGGAGTTCAAGACCAGCCTAGGCAATATGGTGAAACCCCATCTCTACAAAAAACAAGACAAAAATTAGCTGGGCATGGTGGTGCATGTCTGTGGTCCCAGATATGTGAGGGGTTGAGGTGGGAGGATCACTTGAGCCCAGAAGGTCGAGGCTGCAGTGAGCCATGATCACGCCACTGCACCTCAGCCTGGGCAACAGGGTGAGACCCTATCTCAAAAAAAAAAAAGTTTAGACTCTTCCCCCAAGTTGGTCTTAGCAGTCCTTAGACAGGTTAACTCCCTTCAATGCTAAATGGTGTCATAGGGTAACAATAATTTAACAATTAAACTTTTTCTTCCTTTATTAGTTTTAAAAGTGTCCCAAATCCTGCATCACCAGAAAGCCACCATTAAATTTTTAGAATTTAAAATAAATTCTAGAATTGACAAGAAAAGTTAACAAGGAAATTTCAAGAATGTCTCTTATGTATTATTTGGCCCTTAATAAAAGAGCTGTTCTGACTTAAGCTTTGATGACCTGTGATGGTGACTACGAGATGGGGCAGAGTCATGCTGAGAGCTAAGTGCTGGGGCTGGGCAGGTGCTCAGGCAGCAGGATGGGAAGGAGGGGCTGGAATAGGTCTCAGAACCAGGCCAAGGCCAGGGCCTCAGGTTCAGGGTTTTCAGCCCCCACCCCACCTCATCCTTTTACATGTGCTACTTTGGTTGAACAAATGCTCAGAGATGGAAACACAGAGAGCAATTGTTTAAAAAGACACTCAAAAGCTTCTGCTACACACCTAAGCAAGCTCTTACAGAAAGTGACACTGGTCAGGTGCGGTAGCTCACACCTGTAATCCCAGCACTTTGAGAAGCTGACATGTGAAGAGTGCTTGAGCCCAAGCAATCTTGACCAGTTCAAGACCAGCCTGGGCAACAGAGTGAGACCCCGTCTCTGCAAAAAAAAAAAAAAAAAAAATGCAAAAATTAGCTGGGCGTGGCAGCACATGTCTGTGGTCCCAGCTACTTGGAAGGCCGAGGTGGGAGGATCACTTGGGCCTAGGAGTTCAAAGCTGCAGTGAGCCATGATCACACCACTGCATTCCAGCTTGGGCGAGACGCTGTCTCCCCCAACAACAGCAACAAAAAGTAAAAACTGTTGCTAACCCCACAATTTGCCATGAAATATTTTAATCCAACAAGTTGTCTGCTGTAAAAACCAAAGTCTTGGTGAAACAGTAATCTCTCTAGGGTCCCTCCCTGTACGTTGGAAAGTAAGACCCCACTCCCTTACAAGGGCCAGCTGTGGCCAGGTATGGTGGCTCATGACTGTAACCCCAGCACTTTGGGAGGCTGAATCAGGAGGACTGTTTGAGCCCAGGAGTTCAAGACCAGTCTGGGCAACATGGCAAGACCCCACCTCTACAAAAAAATATTTGCAGGCATAGTGGTGCACACCTGTGGCCCCAACTACTTGGGAGGCTAAGGTGAGAGGATCACTTGGGTCAGGAATTCAAGGCTGCAGTGAGCTAGGATGGTGTCACTGCATTCCAGCCCAGGCAAGACAGTGAGACTCTGTCTCCCACAGAAAGGGCGTGGGACAGTTGTCAAGCATATTGAGGCTTATTCAAAGTACAATGCCCGTGAATGAGACAGAAAATCATGCCCTGAATGAGCTGAAGTGGAACCCTGAGCTACGCAACACAGACAGAGGTCACTGAAGGTCAAGCATCTCACCCTCACCCCACCCTGCCAGTGGAACAGGGGCCGTTGTCAGCCCTGATTCGCAAGTGTGGGTACAGAAGAGGAGAGATGGGGTAGGCCAGCCACGGTGGCTTGCACCTGTAATTCCAGTGCTTTCGGAGGCCGAGGTGGGCGGATCACTTGAGGTCAGGAGTTTTGAGACCAGCCCGGCCAACATAGTGAAATCCTGTCTCTACTAAAAATACAAAAATAAGCGAGGCGTGGTGGCACACACCTGTAATTCCAGCTACTCGGGTGACTGAGGCAGGAGAATTGTTTGAACCTGGGAGATGGAGGCTGCAGTGAGCTGAGATCACACCACTGCACCCTAACCTGGGTGACAGAGCAAAAACAAAAACAACAACAACAACAAAAAGAGCAGAGATGGGAAGAAACTTACCAAGGCTAACAGGGACTCAATAACCAAGGCTGGATTCAAACCCTCAGGGACTCAGTAACCAATCCTGGATTCAAACCCTTACCCCGAGAAGTTTCTGCTTATTATAGTTTTTAAAATGGGGTCCCAGGATGTGCAAAAACGAAAGCACCCATGCACTGCTGGTTAGAATGCAAAATGGTGGAGCTGCGTGAGGGTCTGATGGTTCCTCAACGAGTTACCACGGAATTCCCACGACTCAGCAATTCCGCTCCTGGCTATGTCCCCAACAGCGGGTGAACAGGTCAATACACTGTGGTCCTTCCATACAACGGAATATCATTCAGTCACAAAAAGGGATGAAGTTCATCCACGCTACAACACAGGTGAACCTTAACGACATGCCAGTCACAAAAGGCCACATGATTCCATTTATGTGAAATGTCCAGAACAGGCAAATCCATAGAGACAAACAGGAGATTAGTGGTTCCGAGGGGCTGGGAGAGGGAAGTAGAAGGACAGGGAGTGACTGCTTAGTGGCCATGAGCTTCTGGGTGATGAAAGGTCCTGGAATGAGACAGCAGTGAGGGCTGCGTGACATTATAAATGTACTTAGTGCCCCTGAACCGTACACTTGAAAATGGTTATAACAGTACAATTCATGTTGTGCACATTTTACCATAATTTTTTCAAAAAGAAAGAAATGGAACTGCTCCCTCCCCTTTTGTTCAATTAAAGAAAAAAAAAAAAAGACCAAAGCAGGTAGATCACTTGAGCCCAGGAGTTCAACACCAGCCTGGACAAGATAGTGAAACTCCCTCTCCACAAAAAAAAAAAAAAAACAGAGCAGATCTGAGCACTGAGCATAGGTTGGTATGCATATATGCTTGAGATAATCAAACTTACTACTA